TGAACCCGATATTACAACACCCACGAAACAGGGGAGGGGAAACAATGGTCAAATAAAAATATAAAACAATCCCTTGAATCCCAAAATGATGAAAGCCAAAACAAGGCGACGTAACTTTGCATCCCGCTCTTCCCATAATTTCTAATTTGCGCGTGCGGACAGATCGAGGTATGATACAAAAGTTGTACCACTTGTTGAAAGGTCTTTTTTGTTGTTGTTAGGAAAAACTTCATCCGCTGGGTATATTGCTATGTATGAAGAAACATTTCTGAGAAAAATTACATTTTTTTCGAATCATCATAATTTGTTTCGACTAGGTTTGTGTTCATCATATTGCTAACCTGTGAGATATCATTTTCCAAGCGTTGCCACTCGAAGCTGGTGGAATGAAATGTGTCATCCGAATGATTTCCGCGGCGATGAAGGAATTTCTTTGTCCGACCAACACCATAACTATGAAAACGGATATAATGAACAAATCCTGATGATACACAAGATGAAAAATGAATACGACTCAATCCATGCACTGCGCATCAAAATGCTTCTCAAAAACTTCGGAGAAAAATATTAAGCAAAAAATGGTCGCTTTTTCCTCATCAAGGCAAGAACAAATAAATCTCATCAGCCTTTTGGACTCATTACTGTACGAGTTTTTAACCCTTTGAATGAAGATGAGGATAACGAAGTTTTGAACCCACGAAAAATAGGGAAACTTTCTTGAAGCTCGCCGAGTCAAAACAATTTTTTTTTCCCTAAAGAAAGCCGGCACAGATCTTGATCATTGTTCAAAATGGATTTTTATTTTTTGGGTGAAGATGAAAAAAATTTGGCAATTTTCCTAATAGAGGGGGCCCGAGCATGAATCGTAAATCCTGACTACAAATATTGGCTTTAAAGAAAGCAATTGAAAAACGAGCTCAACAGCTAAAATGGAGTCAAAACCTCCTTAAGTAGAATTTTTTTCCTGGTCCCTAAAAATTCAACTTAAAGAGGTTCAACTGTATTTCTTTCTATCAATTCTTAATAAAAATATTTAGCAGCTACTAGAGATTTTTGACAAGCCCTGGTATGCTGTGTAAATGTAGTAAAAGTAAAGTAAAATAAAATAAAATAGTTTGCTCACGTAGTGGAGCCATCAGTGAGAAACGTGCTGTCAGTCTCCGAATTGTGTTCGGACACATAGGTTTTATCTTCATCTTCCAGGAAGGTTTGAGTCGTGACGAGGTTGAAGTAGACTCCCTTCTTTTTCATGAGGGTCTCGTGTGTGCCAATTTCCTTGAGCTGGCCATTTTCCAGGGCGACGATCTTGTCCGCATTTCGAATGGTGGACAAGCGATGAGCAATCACCAAGGTTGTCCTGCCTTTGCTAGCCTTGATTTTGCAGGTCAAAAGGAATTTTTTTTTTCAAATTTGAAATCAACTGTCCAGAAAATTTTCTAGTTGAGAATGACGCAAAAATTCTGCGCGGGTCTGTGACTTTTTCCCTTTGCAATCTCGTTTGAACATTTCGAAAACATGGCACTGAATTAAAAGTACTGTGTAAAATTGAAAGCTGTATTATTCACGCACATAATAGTGTCAATCCTTCAGTAGATCATTTGGTATTTTTACAATTTGTATCAAAGAAAATAATGAGGCTTAAAAGTTAGTCTTGAAATAATTGTTTTATTTCCAACATCCACTTGAATTTGCTGGTGAAATTTATTTCTCCGGGGGACAAGATTCGATATTTCCATTAAAAAAATAAGAATTGACAAAAAGCTGAAAAATCACACAATAAAACATACGTGATAAAAATACATTACCGATGACATTAATTAAATGTGTCGTGCAAACTTTTTCATAAATTTACCTCATGCATTTTGCTATTTCAGGTCATCGGTGAAAAAAGCTTTCTACTTCCTGAGTCACTTCTAAATCATCATCTTTCCACAAGGAACATTATCTGATTATCCTGATCACAGGCTTCAGGTCATTAGCCCAGATAATTGATGTACTCCAGTATAATAAAATTACAATTCCTGTCAGGCTGACAATTAATAAGTCTCACCATTCAAGTCTGCATTTTCATAGGAATCAAAACGTTTTATATAAAAGCAAGCACTGTTTCGTTCCTTTGCCCTGCAAAATAATCCCCAAAAACTCTTCAATTTGTGAAGTACCTTGTCCAAAGCTTCTTGTACAATTCCTTCACTTTCAGAGTCCAGTGCTGAAGTGGCCTCATCGAGAATGAGTATTTTGGGGTCTTTTACCAGGGCTCTGGCAATTGCTATCCTCTGTTTCTGTCCTCCTGAAATTTGAGCGCCTCTTTCTCCCACATTCGTCGAATATCCCTGTCAAATTAAACAAAAATGACAAAAAAAATTTCGAAATAATGTTCGCCAATACTTATTCAAGGGGTTTAAAAGGGTTTTCATATGGGAGGGTTGTCCCACTGCCGCGCATCCTTAGAACTTCTGACTTCCTTATGCATGGGAAAAATGTTTTAAAAATTCCCTCATGATTTTTTAGCATTTTTTTTTTGTGGATTTCTTGGAAGACATTTTTACAAAACACTGCTGCACAATGAAAAGTGAAAACCCTCTGGATAAGAGTAGAATTTCCACTCATTTCACAGCATGAAAACTTGTTGCAAGTGTTATGAAAAATTTGAATTCTGCTGTGGATGTAGAATAATATGTTCATGATATCTGGCGAATTAAATTTTTCGAAAGCTCAGTTTTCTTTCAGTAAAAAAATAAAAAATATGCTAAGATTTTGGCAGTGGTGATGACAATGCGGTGTTCAATTAAATTAAGCAATTACAATAAAGTGTTGATATACTATTTTCCCAAATATTTTCACAATTCCTTATTACTGCAATCATTTCTGTGCATTTAACTTATTTGTTTAATTCTGTACATAATGGAAACTCCAAAGTATATAGACCAACTTTAGGCAGGTTGATGAAGAATGACAAGGTGTCAATTTACAACTTCCTCCATTTTTTTTCCTCCCAATCCCTTTTGCTGCCAGCAGGGATAATTTTTGTGCATCATGATTAGCTCCTTTCCATCTTTTGTATCAAAACACACCAAAGTATAAATATACAGTACTAACTTTGGGCAGGTTGATGATGAATTTGTGCGCATTGGCAGCCTCAGCAGCCCTGATGATGTTGTGCATGGTCGCGTCCTCGCAACCGAACTCTATGTTTTCCGCGATAGAGCAATCGAACAATACGGGTTCTTGTGACACCACGCCGATCTGGTTCCGCAGCCAGGCAAGGTTCAGGTTCCGAATGTCCACTCCGTCTACTGTGACCTATGCAAATAATACCAAGTAATTATTCAAATCACCCCATACAGAATGTAGGTTTTCACATATAAACGTGTACGTACTGTATTTGAAAATGAGAAAAAGCCACTATATATATATACTCAGGGATCATTCATCATATCGTGACGTATTTTAGTAATCCATACAGTATTTCGCTTATTTTAGTACCCTAACGCTTTTGAGAGAAGCGGTGGTAAAGTATTGCAGATTTTCAGGTTGCCAGAACAACAAAAATGATTATCTTTATATGATGAACTAAGGGTTATATACGAAGTACCTCGCATGACACTAATCAGACGTTTCGCTGGTAACTCAAAAGAAAAAGATTCTTCAGTTCAAAATAAGCTTCCATCATGAACAACAGGAAAAAAAATTATTTTCACATAAAATCAGGGATTGATTGATTAAAAATTTGTAATCATCGATTCATCAGAGCATCGTTGGTTCAGTGGTAGAATGCTCGCCTGCCACGCGGGCGGCCCGGGTTCGATTCCCGGACGATGCAGACGCATAATTTTTGAATTCCATGAAGTATTTTTGCACAATGTTCATCAAATTTCTTGCACATCATGCATTTCAGAAGAAAACATTTCAATGCCTAATCTAGTCGGAAAGTGGACCAATGCACATGCTCAGAAATGTCTGCGGAAATAACAGATTTGCTATAATACGCACTGGCGTATATTTTATGACTTCATTAAATCTTTATAGCATTATACTGTACTGTATATTTCATAATGCAGTAATTCATTTATTTGTAACTTACAAAAGTGACGAATGAAGTTGAAGATATTGAGTACAACAAGTAAAAGCTTGAATAATTTTAATGGGAACGCTCTACACAGATTTGAAAATTTCGTACACTTCTGTTGGAAAAAAAATTACTTGAAGCTAATACAGTACATGTAATTCTAATTCCAGGCAAAAGTACTTGCATCGTCCGGGAATCGAACCCGGGCCGCCCGCGTGGCAGGCGAGCATTCTACCACTGAACCAACGATGCTTCTTGTTACTGATTTGTGAAAATTGATAAATATAAAATTTCTTTTACCATGCCGCTGAGCGGATCATAGAAGCGCAATAGCAGATTGACCAAGGTCGACTTTCCACAACCGCTGCTGCCGACGACCGCCACAGTCTCGCCTTGCTCAAGAGTGAAGGTGACATCATTCAGCACCTGCTCCAGCCAGCACAAAAGAAACCAACAAGAAAAGAGAGAAGCATCATTATTGCACTCGAGAAACGCCCCTATAGTACGTTTCATTTGCTATCTTCAACCTCCGGAAAATAATTTAGAAGGACATAATGAACGCTCGAACAGTACATATATTTCCCTCATTCAAACTATTTCCAAGCCCTTTATACCTAGAACCTGAACTGGGTGAAACACTCCGTATGCATAAGGATCCGACACCGCAAATAATGATTTCATTTTATATAGCAGTAAAATTCATATTCCAATGCTTTTATCTATTCCAAATTATACAGAGCGACTTCAAAGTACAGTGCACTACTATAAAAATAGTTTAAATTATATGAAGCAGAAATATATCCAGTCCTGTGCTTTCCAAAATTACCCATTTTATGCATATTATTCTTCAAGTTCTCACCGCTCTTCTCAATTTTTACTGACGCAAAATCAAAACGTACAGCAGCAGCTGTCAATATACTCACATCATATGTATTTAGCCAATTTTTGTAATCGCATTGGAGGCAAAAACCTAGTGAAAATAAACTCAAGAAAAATTTCCAAGTTGATAGAGTCTGTCCATTCAATTAAAATTATATACTGTAACAGTATTTTATTTTATAAATGTTGTTCAATAAAATAAAAATGTCAGCCACGAAAATTCCAAACTTATTCATGTTTACTTGTATATATGTTTGATTCGCATTTCTTGATTTATAGAATTTATCCCCAACACACGCCGAAAGGGGTTATTGTAATTCAGCCCAGTCATCTACATATATGAGAGCACAAGAAAAATGTAAAAATAATGAATCAATTCTCACAGGAATTTCTGGACGACTGGGGTAGCTGAATGACACGTGGTCAAAGCAGACCCTGCCCTGAGGCTTCTGCAGTCGCATTCCATCGTTGGAGTACGCGTCGATTTTGGGTTTTGAGTCGATCACCTCAAAGATGCTCGACGCAGCACCCTGAGCTGTGGCCACGACAGTGACAAATGGCAGAGCATTTCCCAATTGAGTAGAGCCCATCATGACGCTGAAAAACACCTTTTGAAGACACAGAAAGAAATTTACATTTTTTTAGAATTTATTGAAGGATCCCTTGAAATTTATGTAAAAGGAAGAACGAGCCTATAATATGTATATATACATATATATATGAGCCTTGGGATTGAGGGCGTTGTTCTGCAACTTATGTTGAAATTGTACACATTGAAATCAGTATAATTACTGGTTTATTCACAAGCAACGTTCTAACGATCCTTGTCGCAATCTCAAAGTTTTATTTAAAACGACTTTTGTTTTTATTGGTGATTTTTTTCACTGTATATGATCACCAAAAAAAATGATACGACTCCTAAAACTCGGATCAAAGCAACCTCGGATACGAGTATAAAGGTTTTATGTAGTCATCTACAATGTTAAGTTTTCAATCATAAACTCAAGAGATTTTGATGAAGCGTTATTCGAGGCCGTTTATAAAACTCGTAAATTTTGGTTATCTCTTTGTGCTGCGAGATTTAAAAAAAACATTAAATAGTGTAATTTCAATTTTATACACTTCCGAATATTCATGCTGTTTATAAGACTTTAAAACTCTATAATCTCGGTCCTGATTTTTTTTTCAATGTATGAATAATAATTTAATCATTCACATACGTCCAAAGATTTTTGAATAAATATTTGAAATTAACATGCTGTACTGTGAAACACGCACGAAAACTTTTCTTTCTTTCGTGTCAAGATGGAAAAAAATTAATCAAATTTTACATTCGTACAGAGATTTTGATGAAATATTGAATGCAGTACAGTATTGTGAAACTAAAAAAAGAATTTAGTAGATTAAAAAATTAATCTAAAAAACCACGTTTTCTGTCATCAGTTTCTAAGCTATCCTGAAAGTTTCAGCTTGCTAGCTAGTCAGGAAGTGAGCGAAATTTGAGTTGCAAAATTTGATCTGGACAAACAAACGGACAAGAAAGCGAGTTAATAAAAACGTGTTAAAATTCTTTCCTCTTGTTGCTGTGTACAGATAAAATAATTGTTGTATATTTCAATTTCAAATCAGCGTTTGGAGCTTTTCCTTGCATATTTGAAAATAAAAATCTCGTGAATCTCGTTTCTACTTTTGTTTTCAGGTGAACATACTGCAATTAAAGCACATTGTATATCCGTCCACAGAGATTTTTATGACCCTTTTTACGCAGCAAAACTCAAAAATCTCGACTCTCATTTTGTGTCAAGATAAAAAAAAAAGAATATCGGAAAGAACTTACAGTGAAAACGTCGCCCGCATCCATGTAGCCCCAGAGAACGAACTCAGCACCGAACCAAAATGCAAGGGCATACGATCCATAAATCACAAACATGATGAAGAGGAATGCGATTGACATTGACGTGTATTTCCTTCTGGATGTCAAACGTCCCGCTTCCAAATGCTTGTTATACCTGAAAATCCCATAGCAGCAGTTATGCGGGATATTACATGGACATTTAAAACTTGACCAGCTTCTCTCCAACAAAACAAAAAATGCATGAATCTTGAAAATAAAGCCCTAAATTCCTAAAATGAGGTAAAAAATTACATAAAAAAGTACATGTGTGAGTGTAAAACTGAAGTGATGCAATAATTCTTTCAAGATAATGTATAGTTTCTAGATTTTTGCAGATTCGATGTGTCTGAGCGTGGAACTGTTTGAAAACCCACAAATAAAAACAATTTGGATAAAATATTCCTAATTCAAATCTTGAAGATATTATTAAGACCTGAGTAATTGCAAAGCAAATAAAAATTCTTTTATGTCCATAGCATTTCACAGTCATTAACAGAAATGAGCTTCCAAAAAATCTGGGACGATTAATCAATAAAAATTAAGCAATCGATAAAAATCAAATACAGTATACGAGATTCATAATGGCTTCATAGAATCTTCACACTTGACTTATATATACAGTACAGTATTGGGAATAATTTTTCATTTAATTTTTCCAAGATGCTCAAAATAATTATGCCTCTACCATAGGGGCAAAAAGAGTCGTATGAAATTAATATTGTACTGTATTATAAAGCCTAGTTTTTTCAAGAAAACGTACCGTTCAACAGCTTTTTCCTGTCCGCCAAATGCAGTCACAGTACGTATACAAGACAGCACTTCCTCAGCCACGCTTCCCGCAGTGCCATATTTTTCTTGCTCTCTCATTGTAGAATTTGCGACCAACTAAATATAAAAAAAATTTGTACAGAATTGACCCTATTTCATTGTTTAGTTGGCTTTTTCAAATGTATGCTCTGTTCAATTCTTTCCGGATATTTTAAATGGACCAAACAGTCGACGCCTGCTCACAGAAAAAAGAAAAATTCTCTCAAAATAATTTCTTAAAATATCAGGACGATAACAAAACTTTACCGCGGAATTAAGGATTATGTTCCAACAACAACTCCCTGTATTGCGGACAAAAGATCGTATTTTAAAAACAAAAACAAGAATACATTTGAATATTTACCTTTCCGAAAAACGCGGATGTGCCAGCGAGAAACGGTGTACAGGACAAGATGACAAGAGTGAGTTGCCAGCTGGTGTAGAAGCCAACAACTAATCCCGAGAAAAACGCTGCAAAACTTTCAATGCACATGCTGAATTTGTCTCCCATTCCTTCTCGAACCCGCTCAAGGTCACTGAAATCAAATGAAAGCGACAGTTTTCGAGGAAAAAAATTCAAAATTCAGTCTCATATGAAAGACTACGTTGAAAAGTTCTAGTTCCGAATTCCTTGTGGAAATTTGGAAAACCGAACTGAATATTGTACTCTAATTCAATGTTGAGGGACAAAGAGATCTATTCTCGTCACGATATTTCTTTTTCAGAAATGCCAAAATACGTTCAAATTATTCATGATCTTATACTCTTCAGGATTCATTTTAATGTAAATAATTTTTCTGCTACCTCGTGATCTCATGGGCTTTTTCTTGGTTTCATCTTCGATTCAATATCACTATACTGAAATTCAGTTAATGTCATCAAATATTATTCTAAAAAAATAAATAAAAAAACGTACTCGTTCAGCTTCATGGTCAATGCACCACTTTGCTTGAAATCAAACCAGGCGATTTCCATTCGCATCACTTGGTAGAAAAACTCTTGCCGCAGTCGATACATCTGCCTTTCACATGATTTCACCCAAAACGCAATCTAAAAATCCGAAATTACAAAAGAAGCTTTTCAAATCTTTGAAAATTTTCGGCGAAATAAAAAGCTGGAATTTTTTTTTACCTGGAATACGGATGCGACGAAAACTGCGATTCCAATAAAGACGTAAATAAGTGAAAACGTGGTCATTATTTCAGAAAATTGCTGAGCACTGATGGCTTCCGCGGGGATAAAACCTGGCTCTGCTGTCCTGCAAATTGTAAAATACCGTTTAGTTCAATGAACAGTTAATCATTTGCTTCACCATGATGTCCACACAAAAAATCACAAACGCTTTTAAACTGCGCGGGAGTTGAGCAATAATAAATTTACTGTATCCTTATTCACACACGAACACATGATAACATTAAAAAGAGACAATATTTCAAATAGGAATACGAATACAGTATCAAATTACTTTTTTAATAATTTTTGATACGTACCCGAAGGCATTCGGATTTCAACACATTATTATTCCTGCTGATGCCAAGGGGCACGTTTCAAACATGATCATGCTTTATTAAAATAGCTTGAGTAAATTTCAAAAACAAAAAAAACCGAGATATTATTGATTTAATCTATCATTGGGGTTGCTTATTGTTTTGCAACATTGTTAGAATGCCTTTCTCCAGTGTAATATATGGAACATGATATAAAAATTAGAGATTAAATGTTGTCAAGTTTCAGATGGTGACAGAAACGATTGATAAATTAAATCATCATCTAAGATTCTAATGCGCAAATTTAATGGCCTTGGTCCGTCCGCCATTTTGCACCCCTCCCCCTTTCTGCATACATCAAGTTCTTTAGAACTTAAACCCTCTTCAAACACTCTCAATGGCACCAAACTCCAAATTTCTGAATTTAATGGGAGCACAGTGAAGTTTCTTACATTTCCTTCTTCAAAGTTGAAAAATTTTTTAAATTGGCAAAGTTAGAGGCAAAAACGTGAAAGTTTTTTGAACAGGTGGTCTAAGGTATGTAACATAAGGTTGCAAGTAGATCAAAAACTGAACCCCATTCATTCATTGAAGTTTGTAAAAATCTTTTTATAAATATCATCATGATGATGCTCAGGTGTGGCTGGGGACCTGCTCCAGCTTGTATTCCTAGAGAATTATTGCATCAGCTCCAAACAAAGCATGCTTTGTTTGAAGCTTATTTTTGTTTTAACCCTGGACAGCATTGCTGAGATTTATCCGCAAAATAGAGTGCAACAAGGAATAAAAAATATAGAAAATTTGAATGATTAAAAGAGCCAAAGCCTGAAAAAATCCTGGTTTTTTTCATTTCTGTGGAACAATTTTTGTCAAAAGAAAATTTACTGCTAGGTGGCATTTTTTCTGCATTCCTGCCATATATGATTAGCATTAAGGGGTTTTCAGAACAATTATCTCTTTTACTTCCCCAGATTTTTTCCTGAATTTGGCTTCTCAGTCGAATCTGCATTTTGGTGACCCTTCAGTCAAACCCAAACTCACAAGCATGCAAAAATATCTCTGCACTGCTGTGGGATGGAATTTGACCTGCCACGATCCAAGGGTGAATCTTTTTTTTTAGATAATTTTTTTAAATCTCTTGAATCGATCAACTGGAAGCATGAAAAAACTGACTTAAAAAAAATGAATTGAAAAATACTTGGGCGCCTGAAAAATCTCCTCTGATATCAACTTGGTTAAATTCCTGATATGATCTTGAAGAGAAATAAAAAAGTCGAGCTTACGCTTGCAAAATCCGTTCCACAGTAGATCCCATGATCCCGACAGTGACGTTTGAAACCGAACTATCCTTGTCATCGATTGTGGCAGCAGTAGACGTGTCGACGCCTGTCCATGGCTCATTGCTCATTGTCACCAAACCCGATTTTGTGACATTGATCATCGACGTTGTTGGTGTCAACACGGTTGAATTAGCTATGCCTTCTTTTGAGAAACCCTGAATTTTTATGTAAAAAAAATGTACATTTTTAACGCTCATAGACAAGCAGAAATAATGTGTTTTTTTTACAAGAATTGCTAATGGTTTGATGCGAGAAAATGTAAATGTCAGCCCGCGAAATTTTCACATCCCGATCTTATATTATTATTTTTTATTTAGAAGTACCATCGCATTTATTTTTGAAATTCGGTACATTTCATAGTATTCTCACGTGCGCTTTTAAAAACATCATACTGTATGTTTTATTTAATTTGCGGATTGAGACAATATTGCTTCCGACCCAAAGGAAACATGGTCATATTTTTACGTTTATTCAGGGAAAATTAAAAAATATGTCTGTTGATGAATGTTACTCAACAACCAAGATTAAACGGGTAACTGAAAAACAAGTAGGAACAAGGGACTCCGTTGTTTTTAACGAATTTCATTTCTACAAATGAGCGCCTCATTTTTGACAGCAGCTTGCTTTTTCATATGCCAAATAAATTATATGTATTTTCTATATTCAAGGCACGGAAAATAAACAATAACATGATTGTGTCTCAAGATGTAGATGGCGTTGCATATTAAAGTGAAATAATTTCGGTATTTTCTCTAAAATTCATTATTTTCAATCAATTTTTCAATTCTTATTTCTCACAATTCCAACAGAGTGAAGAACAACATTTTTCATAGAATGGCGAAAAAACCCGGCTATATCCGCTGAAGTTCTGATATTTATATATTCCGAAAATGCAGTTTTTTTTTATACTTTCACACAGTCCGTAAATAGTTTCGGAATTTCGTCATTCTTGCGCAATTTAGGGTACAAGGATTTCCGAATTTCACCTGCTGAGCAGTTATAATGAAGGTTTTGGTCATGCTGCCAAAGACCAGGGCAAGAGCAGGGAACCCAGCTCCATGGATTACCGCAGCTAAGGTGCCAATGGTGAGCAGAACAGCGTCGACCTTGTCCGCATATCGAAACTATAAAAAAATAATAAAGGTACATGAGAAGAAAAACATATATTGTACAGCATGGACACATTAAAAAAAAAAGTGCACTGTAAGGATTTGCATTTTACTTTTGTTCACTCGCGTACGACCGGATTTACTCCGCTATTGTCGTGCAAATGCGGCCTATATTCTAATGAGTACCCCCTACAATACGTTGTAGTTAGGAGTGGTCCACAGACCTCCCCTTTAAACATTTTTATTTAGTAAAATAAGTCATTAGGCCTTTGGTATTTTCTAAAACTTAGAAGGGAAGAGGTTCTCATCAGAGACTCCTTCAAGGTCCCTGTGGGATTCCTGCGAAGATTCTTTTCTAAACATTTTTTTTATCATGTTACGATTTAAAAATAATAATAAAACAATCATAATAATAAGACTCTGAGACACGCCATGCAACATGAGCGCTTGTCAAAATGTTTACAATATTCAGAATGAATTCCATGAAAAAGTTTGTAACGAATCATGTTTAATCTTGAGAATGAAAAAAAAAAGAACAACGCTCATTGATTCAGTTTTTTGCTGAAGTCTGCGTCATAATGACTATAAAAATATGAGCAGTTTTCAAAATGTTAAAAATTGTCCACAACTTTATAGTGGTCTATAAAAAATATTTTAAAGAATAAAATGCAATCTGAATTAAAGAGCTGTATTCTCTTTTTTATTGTTGAGTCATTTCTTTATGTTCGTTACGTGTGCAGCATTTATAACTGATATTCAAATGCTACATTCAAAATAAGTCGGATATAAGATTACTCATGGGGGATGTTATGCAACATCAATCCTCACCAGGTGTCTGGAGGGGAAATTTGTAAAAATAAATCATTTTATTCAGTAATCCGGAAACCATAAAAGATTTTGAATCTTCCGAAGACGTTCTCATCAGAGACTCCTTCAAGGTCCCTGTGGAATTCCTGCGAAGATTCTTTTCTATATTTTTTTTATCGTGTTACGATTTAAAAATAATAATAAAACAATCATAATAAGACTCTGAGTCACGCCATGCAACATGAGCGCTTGTCGAAATGTTTACAATATTCAGAATGAAATCCATGAAAAAGTTTGTAACGAATCATGTTTAATCTTGAGAATGAAAAAATCGAACAACGCTCATTGATTCAGATTTTTTGTTGAAGTCTGCGTCATAATGACTATAAAAATATGAGCAGTTTTCAAAATGTTAAAAATTGTCCACAACTTTATAGTGGCCTATAAAAAATCTTTTAAAGAATAAAATGCAATCTGAATTAAAGAGCTGTATTCTCTTTTTTATTGTTGAGTCATTTCTTTATGTTCGTTACGTGTGCAGCATTTATAACTGATATTCAAATGCTACATTCAAAATAAGTTTTTAAAGAATAAAATGCAATCTGAATTAAAGAGCTGTATTCTCTTTTTTATTGTTGAGTCATTTCTTTATGTTCGTTACGTGTGCAGCATTTATAACTGATATTCAAATGCTACATTCAAAATAAGATTACCTGAGGTTGGAATGAGGAAAATGAAGGCAATAATGTCAAATTCCATCTTTACCCTCGTATATATTCAGCTGTCCCCATTTTTATGGCAGCTGGCATTATGGAGAGAATTTCTAAATTCATAAAATCAAATTGTATTACTGCTGTAGCAGAAGAAATGGCAATGATGAGACAAATGATAAATCATTGTTTTACCGTCATTTTCATGCAGTACATCTCTGAGAGAATTTGAAAAGTTTACAAAATCGTTTTTTGGAGAAGCAATTTTTAAAAAATGATTCCTTATACTGGGCTTAGGTCATCCAAATTATACTTTAAAAATTCCTTTAAGCACAACTTTGAAACGTCTGTAATTTCCACTTCGATTGTATACAGTACATTCATTTTCATGAGCGCTGCCAATTTTTTGCACGTTATTTTTTCTGATTTGCAACTAACAGCCCTCGCAAAATCCAAAATTATCTCAGCGAGGAAAATATAGTTTTATACTTCATTGCAAAAACTTTCGACTTAAGATTGTTTTGATTCACGTATTCACCTTCAGGCTCCTATATTGAGTTCAAAAATCTCATATACCCATGATACGCAACTTACCTTTACCAGCGTGATTTTAGTTTCACTATAAATACAGCATATTTATATGCATAAATAGCAGCTGAAAATGGGTCACGGAAAGAATGAAAAATATAAATCCAGAGGGAAACTCACCATTGTTCGAAGGGATACCTTCTTAGTCTTCAAATCGCTGTCGCCTTTTCCAGTACTGTCCTCGTCGTCATTATGTTCAAACAA